CAAATGTTGATGGACGGACGTACGACGGACGACGACCCATGGCAATAGCTCAGCTTGACGATGTCAAGGTGAGCTAATAAAATAGAACCAACAACAAGCGCACACGCAGAATGAATACACCACGATTACAAACATACCAGTATCGAGTGGTCAGCACTGCAGCCTCCATTCAAGTAGACAGTGCAGTCCAATGCCAGAATCTTCCCCGCATCTGTGAATCCCACCTGTTATAGAACAGCAGCGATATTATTACAGTCGTGTTATATAAGGACGAAGAGGCTGACGCACACGCATGCGCACGCAGAGGTACACACTCACGCACGCACACACACGCGCGCGCACGCGCACGCGCACGCACGCACAGGCGCACGCACACATGCACGCACGCACGTACGGGGCGTAGGCTCATACATATTGGTAAAGCTACGCATGTACATGTAGATACAAATCTCAAATCTCGATGCAAGCACAGGTACCTTGTATTTGGCCAACACAGGGTGTCTTCCACCGGTCATGAGCATGTCTTCGTCTCTGTCTAGCATAATCCTTACTGGCCGATTCACTCTGGCATAAATATAATAACTAGCTAAACAACGCGAAATTCAATTTGGATACCGTCTTGGAGTTCCATATAAAAATTGGTATATGGTTCCATATAAATTTACACTTTCGCTCATTTCTGTTCGGGCATGACGCCTCCTCTCCCGGTCCCTTATCCGCACGCGAGAGAATCACCAAAGCCAACCGTTCATCCGCATGGTTGTTATTGTTGTTGTTTTTGTTATTTCAGCATTCTATATCCGTGCGCGTTCTAACGTCTGCGGTCACGTGGTCGCACCGTGACGTACGCATCGCGGACGGGACGCTACGCGATTAACACCCTAATTATGATATTGATTGATTATCGATTCGCTTACTTGTGTGCCGCCACGGCGCAGGTGTTAGTTACTAGGATCGCCCTTGTCTCTTTTCCCCCGAATGCTCCCCCTGGAAATCACGTTATTATATCACCGCAATATAATAATATATATATATATATATATATACGAACCGCTTCTATAAGATTATATTTTAGCGTCAAGTTGTCTCGTAACATCTCTCTTTGCTTAATTTAATTTGCTCTTTACTTGAGTTAAATCGTCTTTCCTTCTGACATCTAGCTTTTTTATGTATCCAGCTGCACACTTACCCATTCGCTTCACTTTGCATACAATCCTGTTAGCTGGTACACCCAGGGCGCGTGCCGCTACCTTCTGCAGAATCAAGAAATATTTATGTTGCTAAAAGGTATCACAAGAAACGCGTATGCGCATGCCCGTCTACCTGTGTGTGAATATTATGAGTGGATAACCAAGGGAAATGCAACATTGTGCGGTGGGCGGGGGTAGGCGCAAGAAGGGGGAAGTGTGCAGCTG